CTCATCTGCGCCAAATGCCGCCCGCGAAAACAAATATGAGGCATCGATTAAAAATTCCAAAAAAAAGCCTCTGCATCAAGCACTGAAATGCGCTGTAATAAAATGTTAGAAGTCATCTGTGAACTTGCGCACAATATTGGAAGAACCGCCCACATGAGCAGAACAAGATTAAATGAAAAGATATATCTTTTTTTTTCGACTGCAGCAGCGCAAATTCTATGAAGCTTTGGAGAATTACAGAACTTATAAATCGGAGAATGAGTTCTGGGAGCTGAACTCGTTTCGGCATCACCCATAACTCAGCACTCTTTGCAAAACTATGCAGGGAGGTATATCCGTTTATGAGGCATTAAAAGATGATTGCCATTCCCATTTTGCGTCTACCAAAAAAACAAGCTTATGACCAGATATGGCTTTTTTGGGAATGCAACATATACCGTATCTTAAAAATCTTTTCATTACCTCAACGGCACTTTTTCTACCTTTTTTTCCACATACCTCATCGATTAGGATGATTACTTTGAGTACTAATATAGAGTAGCCTTAATATACTAGCCAATACTTCGCTAGGAGATATGGATGCAATCTTATTTTTTTTTTTGCTATGTAAAGCCATATAGGCAGCAAGATCAAGTTATCCCAACTTGACAACTGGTGTTTATTGGGCAAGCTGAATTTAGAAATAATTGCGATAGAGGCAACAATTTAGTTTGAACTTACACAACATCTAATTAAATATCGGTGCAAAAATCAAGAGGCATTTGTGAGTGAAAAGATGAAAGAATATCATTTTTTCTGCCCTCTCAATTATACGTATTTTCGAATATTAGAAATCTATTTATTTTACGCTTAAATTGGCGAACTATAGTGTTGCAGAATCTTAGTGGCCTAGACGAAAGCAATTTTCTTGCATACATTTACTAGCCCACTAAACTTCTAGATTTTTCTGTATAGCGGCTGAGCAATCTAGTTTGTTCCCATAATCTCTTTGTAAAAATGGTGGGATCCATTCGGGCGGTGATATATAAGTTTTCGAACGAGTTTTCAACGATTACATGAATCGATAGCACAACTAGTATTCTGTGTATCGCATCTGTATAGTGGTAGTCACAAAAACGAAGAGGTGTCCACTAGATATGTATAGTCACATGCTATTTTGCACAACTGGAAAAAAATAGATAGGGCTTTTTGCAGGCTTCGTTATAAAGAAGTTTTTCGGAGTACAATTGAAAATAGGCTCTTAAATTCTTTGCTATTAGAAATTACTTTGCAGAATACCATTTGTTAGTTTTCATTTCGTTATATAATTTGTGAATATTGGTTTTTTTAGCAATTAAGCAAGTTGTGGTTCTTATGTTACCTGCAAGCCAAAAAAGTGAAAACACCTCCACAAGATAA